CAAGGTATTGTCTAAGAAGATGGAGATCTGGAGCGATGTGAACGTTAGGCTCAAAGATGCTATGGAACGTGTTTTGGAGGCAGTTTACGTAAGCTACAAGTTTGGGTATTATGGACGAGTTGGGATTCCTTTTCAGTTTGGGATTGTTACCCTAGCCGTAGTGTAGTTTAATTAGCTTTCCTTGTTCGTTTTGTAGTTGAATTAGGTTTAAGTTTGCCTATTTGAAGGCCTAGAACTCCATTGTAATAGTTAGACGTGAGTAATTGCAAAACTTGGTCATTGAGTGATTTGCTCAATGAATTGTCCTTGTTGTGTGGATTGCTGTCCAACGACGAACGAGCCTTGTATCGATTGAGTCATCACCTCAATCGTGGTTAGATTGCATCTTTTTTTGGGTTAAGCCTCTTCCCCGATCGTCGGCGTTGAAGTTGCAAAATCCAACCCCATCAATTCCCATGTTCTATAGTTCTTTCTTTTGAGTGACTTGGTTTCTCAACAGCAAACTTGAGAGGATGAGAGACTTGCAAGCTTGGACATTTAGCCTCGCGGGTTTGGGGCTTATCACGGCCCGGGTTGACAATTTAAATACTTGCCCTATACTATACCCAGTTAGAGTTTAAAAACTTGGGTTCTGGTCAGAATTAATTCGCAGTGTAGTTATGTGCGAGTCAATTATGCACAATGGCGGATCCAGGGGGTGGCCACCCCGGGCCCCGGCCCAGCCCTCCTCTGGATCCGTAGTTAGTATAGTCCTTATGAATTTTTCGATTTTAGGCATTCGGCTTAGTGTGATTTTATAATAAAATTGGGTATAACTAGAAAAATGATTCATTATAATTTCTCATCCAAACTATCCCGATGTTATAATCAAATATATATATATATATATATATATATATATATATATATATGGGGAGTTCTATGGTACCCAGGGTGAAATACAGGGTACCACATACCTTGAGTATGAAAACGCTATCTAGACCGTGAATTGATTGAATTTTCGGACATGATACTATACTTTAACCCTCAAAGATCACAATCTATGCCTTAATTCTCTAAATCTTATACCCCAAGATCAATTTAATTAGAAACAATAATCGACGGTTACGATTCGCCCAAATATAGGCAAAAAAAAAAAATGAATGCACCATCTTAGGGTTTATAGTTTATGATTTAGATAACTAGGACCTAGGGTTCACTCATTAAGAGTTAGGGTATAGTATCAGGTCCAAAATTCCTATTAATTCGAGGTCTAAATAGAGTTTTCATACTCAAAGTATACGGTACCCCGAATTTCACCCGGGGTACCGTGTGTATATATATATTCTCAACACACATGAAATGATGTACCTTTTGAAGGCAATGATGAATTGTATAACAGACTCACCAATGTACGATTGTATATCCATGTCCAAGAACAAATTAAAGAAGCTTTTTAAAGCATGATGAAAAGCAGGGGCCCTCTTGACAAAAACAGAATCGTTGATGGTTGGTTTTTCTCCAATGAAGGCAACCAATAACAATTTGTGGCTGAAAATGACATGCAATGCCTCCCCTCAAAGCAAGCCAGTTGATTTGGAAGCTTTGCTTAAACAAAGCATAATAGTGTCACATAAACTGTGACGGATAGATGCTGATGTTCAGATGATGGATTTTGTCAACTAAAGAAACTTCAGTTGTAGTTTCTACTTACTGGTCCATCTGCACCTCCTGGTCCATGGCTGATGGACAGAGATGTGCAATGGTTGTGGACCAGAGCAAATCATGAGAATCACGGTTCAATAATAAATTTGTTTTTAGAATCAAGGACTGAATCATTATTGTATTCTATTCAGTTTGATTCGATCCAAAAATCCATTCGATTCATTTTACTTTTAACATTTATAAAATTATTGGGATCAAGGTATGAATTGCATTATATTCAGTCCGATATGATTTGGTTCAAATGCCAATTTGGTCCGATACAGTTCGGTGCAGAGTAAATCGTTGCACGCCCCTACTTATAGACTCAGGCACTCAGCTGCTTCTCACCATGTGACGATTGATCTGGGCAATTTCCAGTTGATTTCATATGTTATATCCAATGTCTGGCTCTGTGGACTCCAACTCAATTTGCAATAAAGATTCATAGATTGTTTAGCAACTTGTTCCCCAGAATAATGTATTGGTTTATCCCATATATAATGTTAGCATAGAGTTTTTGTAATGGTCTAGTTGCTTTCTCTACTTTGATGGTTAACATATGTGTAAGGCCAACATTGTTCCTTTTAGAGGAGCTTTGGTTTTAAGGGATTGGTCGGTTCGGTTTCAGCTGAACCGAAATTATGAATATCGGGTCCCCGAATTCTCTCAAATCTCAAACCGAATTATAATTCAGTTCGGTCGGTTTAAACTGAATTATAATTCGGTTTGGTTTTTCACACAAAATCGAATTTGTGAAGCTACTTGTATCTTCTCACTTTTAAATTATTTTTCACTCCTAATATAAACAATAAATATGCAATTATATGCATCATCAATGATAAAATCAAACTTTTCAACACATAAGTCATAAAACATTTCAAATATTTAAGTATAAAAATAACTACAAACATAAAAATCCACCATTTGGAGCTTGCAATTATAGTATTTCGGTTTTTCGGCGGAAATTCAAAAATTTTGTTCGGTTGAAAGAACCCTGGTTTCCGAACTATCCATATTTTTCTTCCGAATTGAGAACCGAATAGCATTAATTCGATTTTGGTTCGGGTTTACCGAACCGGTTTCCCACCCCTAAGTTCACTGCTACTGTGAAATTTGAGAAACTCTCACAATTTTGCTACTTGTGTGGAGTCCTTAATCACATTGGCCAGCAATGCCCCCGCCGGGACGAACTCGCTGGCAAGATAACTCCTTATAACAAGCAGTTGATATCCAAGAAGTCTGGACCCAAGGTTAACGAACGGAACCTGCTTGGCCGTCGTAACCTTACATGGGTCCGCCAAGAGAGGGAACAAATTTTCCCCCAGCAACAACAAGGTGTTCTCAAGCTGCTCCTAGCGTCGGGACTGGCCTCCTCGTATGCTGATCCCATATGAGATACGGCTGAAGGTGTGGTTGTTCCTCCAAGCTTGACTCGAGGTAGGCCTGATATGGCTGACCTGCTGCTGATCAGTCCTGGGAGTAAGAAACAGAAGCTGGAGGAATCCCTCCCTCTGCAGGACCGAAACAATGAAGATGTGGTGGTGGCAACCAGCCCTGACTGGTCCCAACTTGATAGATGAGCATCCTCGCCTGGAATTGTTGGGGACTTGGATCTCCCCTGACAATTCCATCTCTCTTTGGAGGCATTTGTCGATTCTCTCCGTCGATTGTCTGTTTAAGTGAGACGAAATGTGATGATGATCATGTAAATAAGAAGTTAAGTAGATTAGGTTATGTCGTGGTCAGTTGTGTATCCCCATTTGAGAGGGCTAGCGGCCAACCCATTTCTTTTAGAACTCTTAGCATTGAGAGATGCGATGAATCGGTGCTTAACCCGGGGTATGACCTCTGTTTGTTTCTGTGGTGATTCACATATGGTGATCCGGCGAGTGACGGAGAACGAAGTTCATCATAATCGTGGTGGGGCAATTCTTGAGGAAGTTCGGTTGCTGAAAGCTTCGTTCGCGTGTATTGATTTTGTTTTCTCTCCTCGTAGAACTAACAGGGCTGCCCATTGCGTGGCAAAAACGGCTCTTGCATTGGTGGATCAGGGTTTGGCGGGACAGGTTACGGTGATTACTACAAAAGTCGTAATCACCGTGGTTACTAAGGGTAAATTGGGTATGAAAAATAAATTGTATTAATTAATTTTTTTAACAAATTATATTTTAGGTAGTTACAAGAATCTATTAATTACAATTCTCTCTTTCTCTCACTTCCATAATCTCCAGCCAGATCCTCTTTCCTTATTTTTCTCAATCTTTCTGCAAAGGAAAAAAACACGAAATCACTACCAATCCATTAGACAACCACTATCACTTTGAAAAATATCAATGTCATTGCAGAAATAAATCTATACCATTACACGAAAACTAACAATATAAACAATCTATCAATATAAATCTATACCATTTCACCAAAAAAAAAAAAACCATTACAGATTTAATCAATACCAATACATGCAAATTAATACCATTACATGATAATCAATACCAATGTGACAAAAACAATACCAATGCAACAAAATCAATACCAATGCGACAAAAACAATACCATTGAGACGAGAGGGTCGGAGATAAAAGGATGGTTAGCGGTGCCGATTGCTTTGACGACCTCCACGGTCTCGTACTCGCCCGGGTCGCTTGTCCATCGGCTCCTCCCTACTGTCGGAGAGAGAGAGAGAGAGAGAGAGAGAGAGAGAGAGAGAGAGAGGTGGGGGTGGTGTGCGGGGAAGAATGAGAGAGAGGGGGGGAGGGGATGGAGGTTGAGAGAGAAAGTGAAGGGAAAGTAGCCGGGGAATTTTGGCCAACGGCGACAAGTAAGAGGGACTGCGGGACGGAAGGGGATCGCGGGGATGGAGGCGGTGACGTCTGAGAGGGGTGTAGCTAGTAGGGTTTTGATAATAATATATAATTATTTTATTTTAAGAGATTGTAATCAGGTGTGTATAATTTTTTGTTTACAAAATTACCCTTAATCTAATCTTTACCGTACATTTAAAAATAGGTTAAAAAAAAAGTAATGAAATGTGTATATATTGATAGCCACCGTGATTACTCATTTGGGGTAGCCACCGTGATTATTTATTTTTGAGTAATCACGCTAATGCATTCCGAGTTTGGCTGATTATCACTATTTATTTTTCAGTTTTTTTTTTAATTTCCTATCTATTAACTATCCATCTCGGTAAAAAAAAAACATGTGTGTCAATGTAAAACCAAAATTTATCCAAACCATTGGAATAGATGAAAAAAGCTCAATATGGTGGGATCCGTTAATCAATCATATATAAGCCACGACCAAACATGTCTTCCCCTTTGCTTAATGCGAAAATAAAATGACTTACTATGTCAATGATAACGACCCCATATCCTTCATTTCCAAGGAATTCGTTGGAACCCATCCACATTTTCTGCTCTATTATTCTTATTGTATTATCATCATCTCTTCTCCTCCCCTTGATTCTCGGCTTCAATCGTCCGTCCCAGAAGGAAGCTCTAAAAAGCTTTCAACTTTACTCACAAGAGTTGACCCAGAAGCCTTATTCCCCACCCCCCAAAAAACTCCGGCCAGTTAGTTTTCCTTCCATTTGAAGAAATTTACATTCCAATCCTCTCCTCAATTTCCATCTCAGTTTTGCCTTCGCCGTGTTGGTCTTTGTGACCTCTGTTTTTGTGTTCAGCTTTACTTGCCAGTCAGTCCTTTCCTTTTAGTCATCGGCCCCAAAATAGAAAACCCACCAAAAGAAGAAGAAGCAATTCTAGATAAGAGTTTTCCACGACAGACAGGTAGCAATTGTTGGGCCGATGGTGGGTTTGTCTTTGAATCAGTCGGGGTTTTCATTTTAAACCCGCCACGGCTTATGTGAATTTCCTGCTCTGTTTCCTTCCTCCCTAAGTCAACTAGGTGAAACTTCTATTCGATTTACAATCCTTACCCCGAGTAGGAGACTTCTGACCCATCGGACCTATATATACACCGAGAATTACCAAAACCCAGATTCTAATTCCTTTTTCTTTTTTCGGGAAGCAAACGGAGTATTATTTACTTGTTAAAGTTCGCGTCTTTTTTTTTTTCTTCTTTTAATGGGAGGGAGAAGTTCGAAGGAGTCGGCTGGTGGCAGTCGGAGGGAGTTCTCGTCTTACGATTCGTTCAACTACCGTTACCCTCCGCCGGCAGCAGCGCCGCCGTATCCCGAGTCGCAGCCGTACTACACGCCTCAGCATCCTCACGCGCCGCCGCCGTCGTCATCATCGGCGTACGGTTATGAACCGGAAAGGCCTCCTCAGCCGCAGAAGAGGTTGGATAGAAGGTACTCCAGGATTGCCGACGATTACAAGACTTTAGATCAGGTTAGTTCATCCATGATCAAATCAGTTACTGTTCCTTTTGATTGTGAAATTTTGTATTTTTCGATTTTTTGGGGACGATTTGAGTTGCCATGGGTCCGGCCAATTATTGGGACAGTGGAAATGTTTTTTTTTTTAGAGGAATATGCTGATTGTATCTGGTGAATCTGGAATTTTATCCAAGTTGGGTTCTTTCTTTGCCATGTACTGTTGTGGATTATGAAAGACTGATAAAGATGTGAACTTTTTCTAGGGATATTGACTAAAGAATCAAGAACTACTGTATCTTTTTGTTTGTGGCTCACAAGTTCTCTCTTCTTTGGAGGGTTTTGACTAAAATGATACTAAGAATAACTGTGAGAGAATGGAACTTGTGCTCGAATGGTGTGACTGATTCTTGTTGGGACTTGCAGGTTACTGCTGCACTTGCTCAAGCTGGGTTGGAATCATCTAATCTCATTGTTGGCATTGACTTCACCAAGAGCAATGAATGGACAGGTTTAGCCTCTTTGTTCTGGTCTTATGATATTTTTTATAAAATGTGGTCGTTACTCTTGGAAGATGCTTGAGGTTTGGTTTTACTTGTGGAAAAATTCAGGTGCCAGGTCATTCAACCACAAAAGCTTGCATCACATTGGCAATGATCCAAACCCGTACGAACAAGCCATATCCATCATTGGAAGGACTCTGTCCGCATTCGATGAAGATAACCTGATTCCTTGTTATGGCTTTGGAGACGGTAAGATGGTGACACGGTTAACTCAGTAGATTTCACTAGATATTTTAATGCTGATTGTAAGTCAATCTTTATGTACTCTCTTGTAGCTTCGACACATGACCAAGATGTGTTCAGTTTCTATCCGGAAGAGAGATTCTGTCAGGGATTCGAGGAGGTGCTGTCCCGGTACAGAGAAGTTGTTCCTCAGCTTCGGCTAGCTGGTATTGGCTTCTCTTCGCTCTTTCTTTGTATCTCCTTTATAACATTTTTACAGTTCTTGGTTTCAGTTCTACCTTCTAAAGTTGCAATCTTGTACCTTCTCGTCGACAGGGCCAACGTCCTTTGGACCAATGGTCGAAATGGGCATTAGCATTGTTGAGCAAAGTGGTGGCCAGTACCACGTTCTTGTCATAATTGCTGATGGTCAGGTAATCCAGCATATCACACTGACTTCCGAGACTGGTTAATGCTCCATGTCCAAATTGCTTATGAACTTTCTCTACAGGTGACACGGAGTGTTGACACAGAGAGCGGCCATCTCAGTCCTCAAGAGCAGAAGACTATTGAAGCAATTGTCAAAGCGAGGTGAGTACCAAAAGCCCCACTGATGGCGAAAAGAATGATAGAAATGAAAGTCTGACCGATATCTTTTGCGCTTTTGTTAATGACAGTGAATACCCTTTGTCGATTATCCTAGTCGGTGTTGGCGATGGGCCTTGGGATATGATGAGGGAGTTTGATGATAATATCCCTGCTCGAGCCTTTGATAACTTCCAGGTAACCATTTAACCATGCTCTTGAAAGTGATGGTTCTGGATTCCTCTTCCTTCAGCTGAAGCAGTTCAACTTTCCTTTTGTTTTCTGTAGTTCGTAAACTTCACAGAGATCATGGCCAAAAATGTTAACCAAACAAGAAAAGAAACAGAATTTGCTCTTGCTGCGCTGATGGAGATCCCCGCTCAATACAAAGCCACTCTTGAGCTTGGCTTATTGGGGTAATTACTCTAACAGAACACCTATTTTTAACCCTTTCGTGTTTAATGTTCTTCTGTGACTAATGTTTGTTTTTATTTTTTCTCTGATCATCAAAATGTAGGCGTCGAAAGGGGAGTGGTCCAGAGAGGATAGCTCTACCTCCACCACAATATGGTCGATCTTCCCATGGTGGCAATGTGAAGCCCTTCCGATCAACTAGCTTCCAGCAGCGAGTGCCTTCATACCCGGACTATAATTCAGCAGCAGCAGCCAGCTATAGTGCGCCACCAGTGAGCTCAGCTCAACATTCGAGTTCTGAGTCTGACAACAAGGTACAAAAGACAGGCTCTTGATCACTTGGTCTACACACATTGACCTGTTCCGGATGTTCATTGAAGCTAATGATGAAAGGTGCTAACTTTCCTGTTTTTTCCATCCCTTTTGGCAAACACAGGCTTGTCCCATTTGTCTTTCCAATCCTAAGAACATGGCATTTGGCTGTGGCCATCAGGTATAAGAAAGATTCCCACTTTCCCTCTGCATCGATTCATTAATCCCACTGATTTGAGGACACCATGAATCCATGATGTTTAAACTTTATACTCAATTGGTCTGTGCTGTAGACTTGTATTGAATGTGGAGAAGACCTGCAATCGTGCCCCATCTGCCGGAGCGCGATACAGACTAGAATCAGGCTGTATGGATAAAAAGATCGAGCAGTGATCCCCAGCCACAACTCGCCACAGACCCGTACAAACTTAAATCAAGGCGCGAGAAGCTCGTTTCGTAGTGTACATAGAGGTGTCATGATTTTTTTGGAAGCGTCCTGTATGTTGCATTCCTTGGACCACAGATACCACAGACAGGAATGGAGGAGATGGAACAAAGTGATAGCTGATAAGGTGGCATTGGTAGAGAATGGTGTGTGTGTTTCTTAGGTGTTAGGGATGATGATTTGGATGGATTCTGTCTTCTGGCTGCTGTGCTGTGTAGAACAGAACAGATATGGTTGAGGGGGGAGCTCTCTCCACTCCCAACACTCATTCCTCCATTATTGTTTTTCTTGCCTCCCTTTTGTTTTTCTACTTTGCCTAGGCTGCGTGACAAGATTATTGAGTGTGATTTGGGTAAAGGTTACCACTGCCATGTGAATAAATATTCCGTTCCAATAATGAAAAATTTTATCAGCTATGGCCTATGGATGGGATAAGGGGCTGTATGTCAGGTGTGTTTGCTTCAAATACATGAATTTGAAATAGGTGTATTTCAAATTCATTATTTGGATCCTTTTTTTGTTTCTTTTTTCAATTTTGAGTTTTCTATTAAGTAAATTTTATTTTTTTAACAAATAGGTCTATCAATTTTGGTAATGAAATTATGCTTTAGTATTTTTAATGCTTTTGCTTTGCATTGTAGTACCTCAATTTTTAAGATTTTATAAACAGGTTCAGTTAGTTGCTATAAGGAATTTCAAATCATTGGGTGTCGATATGTATTTAAAATTCACAAGTGATATACTAAATATGTATTTGAAATTCACATTATGAATTTGGAACCATATATAAGTACTAATTAGTATTCAAACAAAAGATTTTATTCAGAATTCCGATCTCTAACTCAAATTCTTCAATATGGATCTTTCTGTTGGGTTAAGACTTCAAGATAGAAAATAAATGGAGCTAAGGGCTTATTTGGATGACTTGAGTCTAAATCTATACTCTAGAAAATCCAAAGATTTTAACTATTTGGATTATTGAAAAAAGATTTGATAAAGTTCATTGTTTAGTAACCACGATTGTTGACATCCAACGAAGAAAGAAATTCTATTTTTTTTTATTAAATGACATGTTTATCCTTATCCAAAATAATTAGATTGGCTCGAAAAATATTGAGAATTTATTTGTAAGAGTATTTAGTGGGATAAATGCAAAAGGAAAGATATAGTAGGAGGAAGAAAATTTTCAAAATCAAGATACAGAATCTCTCTAATTATGAGAGATTTTAGAGATTTAAAATCTCTGAAACTACAATCCATGGTTCAATAAGTAGCAAAGAAAGCATAAATTTTTTTTTTGCTAAATCTATGGATTCATTAAATCCATGATCTAAATCTTGTGCTCCAAACGACCCATAAAAGGAGAAAAGGGAGAAAGAGAAGGATTTTAGAACAAGATTGATGTAAAGAGGCTTTTTGCCGGATTTGACCAGAAAAGGAGGTGGGTATCGGTTCGGTTGAGTCTCTCAACCGCATTTGTGGTCAAACCACACCACTCCAATAAATTATCGATCTGAGTTGCGGTCTATTCTAAAAATGGTTTGAGGTCAAACCCAACACAAGTTTAAGCTCAACCGAGTCTCGAATAATTCTATTACACTTTCCACGTCAAATCGCTAACTCACATGCTTCGTATAAGCCGCATCAATTAGCTTGCGGTCATACAAACGAACTGCCAAGTAGGAATGGCAATGGGGCAGGTCCGGGGCGGGTATCTCGATACCCATACCCGCCCCATGGCAGGTCTTGTCCAGGTCGGGTAATTTATCACGGGGCGCGGGTCGGTGCAGGTCGACCCATTGGGTATGTAATTTATGCTGAAAAACATTAGAAACATTCGTTATTTTCATTAAAAGACCAAGAAAGAAACCATAATATGATAAAATGTAGTTAAATTATTGAAGAAATTGAGGTTTTCACTTATTTACAACTTTATTATAGCTAAAATATAATGTAATAAAAGGAAAATCCTAAGTAATTTGACTAATATTAAATGTAATATAGGCAAGAACGGGTCGAGAATGGGGCGGGTCAGGGCTGGTCGGGTCGATGAGAGGTACCCATGGCCGTCCCGCTCCGTAAAAGGGCCGGGTTTGACCTGCCTCAAAACAGGTGAAACAAGTCGGGTAAATCGGGTCAGGTCGAAATTGCCATCCCTATTCTCTACTGCCAAGTGGAAACACCAATTTCATTCCGTAACCCCAAACCCAACCCGCATGACCAGGCTGTGGCCCAACTCGTCGTCGGGCCTCACTTCACTGCTTCATTATTGGGCTCTTACTTATCGTCCTGAAAGATGGACATATGGCGCATCCAGCAAGGGACAAGTGGCTTCTTCTCCTGGACTGGACAGGTGTGGTATCCTATCCTTAAAAAGCAGAAACCCCATGCATCCATCTTCTAGAAACGACAAACAAAACCTGGTAGATGGGATTTTCACACCTTATCGGCTAGTAAACTACCAATTCTTTTAGAAGTATAAATACATTAGTAAACATATGAAACTACAACACTTGTCAAAATATACTAAAATGGAGATGGAAAATAATGTCAAAAGTGGTCTAAGATAACAAGATTTGGTCGTGAACTCGATCTTTTGAAATAAATTATTTTCAAAATTTTTGGATAGCATTGTCACTACCATACAAAGACGTAAAGTTGGAAACGGCCGGCGACATAAACAGAATTTGGGATCGGAAGTCTTTCCACCGATCAACAACAACAACAAGTAAAAATAAAGGAAGAAAAGTTAAACTCAAGATATATAATACTTATAATATTATTATTATTATAAATTATCGTGTACAGACAGACACATACGCTGCTTATGCATGCATGTGTTTTGATTGGTGATAATATTATCACCACTCGCTTGTTTATTTAGGAGAAAACAAACAACACCACACTACTTTTGCCACAAATAACTTCCGCCTCCGATTCCACCCACTCCCCTATTTTCTTTCTTTCTACACTTACGTACTCTAGTCGAAAGAGTATACGTATCTAGAATATAAAATTAAATTTAGTTCGAATTATAATATTATATTCAAACTTTTAATTAGTAAAAATCAGGTTTTAGTTCTCTAAACGCAAATCTGAAAATTAATTTAGTAAAAAATAATAATAATTGACGACTCTAATTCATCGAAATACATCTAACGGTCATATATCACTTGGATTATGATATATTCCTAGGGTACGCCAATCGTTATTTTATATATATATATATGCTTTCAAAACCCAATTTTATGAATTTGAAATATAAATCTCATCATTAGTGGTTAATATTTAAAATTATGAACATTCAAGTGCTTTAAATATCTCGGCCGAATGCTCTAATATCATATCAAATTTAATATTCAATTCATTCTAACAACCCAAGTGGAATATATATGCTATTTTCTGTGTTTGTTCTTGATAAAACATAATTAATATCATTTTCTTCCAAAACGTTTTCGGAGCTAGAATATGAAAAGGAAAAAATGCAGTGCTGTCAATTAGTATTGACTGTATCGTTTATTTTTTTAGGTGCTTTCTCTTTAGCAAAATCCATGATAGCTTTATATTCTTAGCCACAGAAAAAACGGCAAAATAAGAAGTGGAAGACAAATCCAGGATAAAGAGAGGTAGAAATGGTGCTAATACGTTCTCTAGTCTCGTTTGCAGCCTACCATAAATCCAGAAGAAAACATAACTAGTTAATAAGCAGTCAAAAATTGGAATATCAACATAAATATAGTGTTATAGAAAGATATTAGTTTCAGGTGTTTTTCACTTGATGAAGTCTCTATAGCTTTCTTTCTGCTAGCTTCTCATTTGCTATCTCCTCCATTGCTCATGTTCTTTTTTACCCATTATTATAGCATAATCTCACGTGATGTAAATTGATAATTCTTATGGAAATTTTACATGATGCTTCTTAGGAACAACTCATAAAATGAACTTCAATTGATCAAATATATTGTATCCTGAAATCGATAAAGTTGAGCGACATTCTCTATTGTCATTGAATAATGGATAACTTAAATTAATTGCCTCCAATTTATACTATAATGCCTAACTCTAATTAGTTGAATTATAATTGTATCATGTGAAGATTTACATATAATCCAAGTAAAATAATTTTATGCTAGCCATGATCTCACCCATAAAAAATCACTACATTCTAGCTCAATAAAACATATGATTTAAACAAGGTGTAAGGTCTCAACTCGAAACATAAAAATTTTAAATATTAACCAGTTACAATATACTAATTAGTAATTACCATCCAACTAATTAATTATAACTCGATTATCTAACTCAATCAAATTATAATTCACCTAATTAATTCTTAACATCTTTTGAATCCTGCCCATGAGCTGTCTGATATGTACCTCTTGTTACTCCTTTCTTTCATTTTAATAAAAAGGTGTCACCATTAACCAAAAAACAAACAAACTTTAATGTAAGGTTATGAAAGACTTGCTTCATTTGCCCAAATAGAGTTGTTCTAGTGTTGACCATATCCTCTAAGTACTTTCGAATTGATCGGAGCATGGTCAATTGTTCAGCTAGTTGTCTCATTGGTCATTAATTACTGTTCATGATATATAACATATAAGACTTGTATATTAAAAAATTTAATAATGAAATTATCATTGACCATAAACAATTTCAAATTCATATCATCACTAAATTATCTAATAAATCATTCAAAACATCTCATAAACAAATTGTTGGAGGGCATGCAAGAGGCCCAAAGGAAGGGCCCAAAGAGTCGAAGTGGGTCAGAAGTGCAGACCTGGCAAGGGGAAGGCCCAACCCAAAAGGGGTCGGGGGCTGTAACCTAGGTGGTGGGACCGAGCGTAACGTAAGGCGCATAACGACAAAGGTGGCAACGGCCAGGAACGTACGGAGGAGACATAATGTGGGGTCATGCGCCTCGGGGTCGAGAACTGATGTCAAAATGTCGGGGCGCCGGAAGGCTCGGCGGGGGAACTGGAAGGCGCGGCGGGAGCACCGGAAGGCGTGGCTTTGGAAGACCCAGGTTGATTCGCGGAAGCCATGGCAGGAGGAGAATGAAAGGTGGGGAAGGAAATATCACAACAACGCGAGGCGCCTAGCAGCGATGGCCGAGAGGATGGCCGAGGGTGCGCGCGGGTCACTTGAGAGCAGAGCAGAGCAAGTTAGAGAGAGGAAGTAGAGAGATAGTGGGGTTTGGCAGAATGGGGAAGGAAGAAGCAGGAGGGGGCAATTTATAGGCCAAAAAGGAGGAGAGAGAGGGCGAAGCGAGGGAGGCGAACCGTCGCTTAGGCTGAGGCCAATTCAAATTTCGAAATTCGAATTCGCTTCAGTCTAGGGGGGAGAGAGAATGGGCCGATGGGCGAGGCGGAAGCCCAACGGTCCACCCGCA